TCCTTTCTTCCCTTTCTTCTTCTTTTTCTCCTTTTCTTCCCTCTTTTCTTGCCCTTTTTCTTTTCTTTTCCTTTCTGCCGTTTTTTTCTTTTTCTCTGCCTTTTTTTTCTTCTTTGTAGGTGTTTGTGTGTGTTTTGAAAGGAAAATGATGGCCAAATGTTGAATTTTAAAGTCCCACATGTTCAATTTGGAAAGAAAGGCCCTTAAATCTAATTACAACATACAAGTAAATCCTCAACTTCCAAAAATATATAAAAAAATCCCAAATTTTTATTTTATTTTGTCCAACTTAACCTTCAAAATATTTATAATTTATAAGATAAACCTAAATAAAATGATTTGGTCAATCAAGTCCCAATAAAAATGATTTATTTCATACAAGTCCTCATTTGACTTGATTTTTAAAATTTCACTATCGATTTTGACTAGATAAAAATGTTGGTTGTAATAGTAGTAGACTTGAAGAAGTCTTGAAAGAGTTCAAGAAAGATAAGGAGAATGATTTTCCTTTTGATAGTTTTTTGACCCCTATTTCATCCAAAAATGCTTCAATATTGGTTTTTTCATTTGTATTGGGATTTCACTTTATCTTAAATTTTTTATGTACTAATTCTCCTAGTTTGTTAGAAATTCTTTGATTATAAATATGTGGTGTACAATACATATTGGAATTGACCAATTGTTCAATTGGTTATTGATCCAAATAGATCCTTTGTAATTCATTACTATTGATTATAGTGAATTTTCCACCTCTGCACGTAGTTTTTCTAGATTTGGGTTTTCACGTAAATCTTGTTTTCACCATGACCCATTATTTTTATATTGTCCATATTTCTTGTCTTTAATTATTTGGCCCAATTATAACAAATGATATTAGAGCCAAGGTATTGGTAGTTCTTCAGAGGGCTAAATTGATTATTAAAGTAAAATTTGAACAAAGTTGATTGTTTCAGGGATAGCAAGTATACAATTTGTGTTCCACTTTTGGATTACAACAAGATTTTTTGTTAAGGCAGCTTCAATTATTATTATTAGTTTAATGAGGAGAAGCAATGTGAGGATTGATTATATATTTTGGAAGGTTTGACAATCACTTTGGATGTAGCTGCAGTTTATGATTTGATAAGCTGTGACTTAGGTGGAATTGTTTGTGATTGGGTTGTTCGTGGTGATTCAAACAATAATATTGGAGAATCTTTTAGTAGCTTAGGTGGAATTAGTTGTGATCTTGTTGCTTATGGTGATTTGAGAATGTTTGACAACTCAGGTAGAGTTGGAAGTGCTTGTGGTGATTTGAGAAAGTTTTAATGACTCGGTTGTAGCTGAAAGTGAACAGGATGATTCAAGCAAGGTTGGCATGTGAGATAGTTTTCTTGGTAAAGAGGGCTTGGATTTAATTTACAATTGCTGAGTATGTCCAGCAGGGGCATGGTGTGCCTGAAAGAAACATAGTGAAAGAGGTGAAATAATTTGGCGGAGTGTTATTGTTTGGAGAATTTGGTTGGAGTTGAAGAGTTAAGTTTATTCCTTGTAATGGAATTCATGTCAAGGTGAAGATTATTAGAATTGGGTTGTCACTCGAATTCTTGTTGAGTATTTGATTGGAAATACTGTTGGAGTAGTATTGAGAGTTTGTAGTATACTTGAAGAAGCTTGAAGGAGTTCAAGAAAGATAAGGAGAACAATTACCCTTTTTGGCAGTTTTTTGACTCTTATTTCATTCCAAATCTTCCATCATTGGTCATACCCATTGTATCGGGATTTCATCTTATATTAAACTCTTTATGTACTAACTCTTCTAGTATGTTAGGGATTTTTTGGTTATAAATATGTGGTGAACAACACATTGGAATTCACCAATTGTCCAATTAGTTATTGGTCCAAAGAGATGCTTTGTAACTCTTTACGATTGATTATAGTAAATTATCTGTCTCTACCAGTGGTTTTCTCGAATTTTGGTTTCCAATTAAATCTTGTTTTCTCTGTAATCCATTATTTTCATATTATCCATATTTTCTCGTTCTTCAGTTATTCGGCATGATTATAACAATTTTTTGATCTAAAAGCCCTGTATCATGTCACGTTACTCAAATATGTTTCGAGAAAAATGGAAATTCCATTTTTCAAAGAACATTGTTAAAATGTCCCAACTCCCAAACAACATGGAGGAAATATGTTGGGAAAAGAAACAAAATTTTAAAAGAAGACCAAGCCTAGGAATTTACGTAGCTTTTAGTTTTTGAATGATCTCCCATTTTTCAGAAGGATTTATGGATATGATAATCATTTTATTGGAGTTTTTACGCCTCATATCCGAAGCTCCACATGGAGGCATTACATACAGACTTTTGATAGTCATCAAGGTCAAAATAAAGAAAGGGAACAACCTCTACCCATCCGAAGCCCTCTCTCCAAGCCAAAGAGGTTGTTGCCTTTAAAGCAAATCTGTATAGTATTTGCAGGAATGATTGACATAAAGGTTTTCATTAATGATCAGAAGTGTCAGCATATGGTGTAGGACGGCTAACTCATTGTCAATGTAACTAATGTATGGTAGAGAATGATGTGAGGCTTTAGTTAGTGGGATGATGCCACGTGGTTTTATTCCATGGTAACCATGTCAGTCTCAACTCTATAATAGCCGCTTTTGTAATAATTTAAAGGATGAAAAAATACATGCAAACTTTATACACACAAAATCACAAGTTTTCTACTTTACATGCTTGAGTTTGGTAATCTCTTATATATATATTTTTGGAAGAGTTGTCTGCAACTGATCATTTTATTTGTGATCATACTTGATCATGTTGTCAGTGCCCAAACGTTTTTCGTCTCGTGTTGTAGAGTATCTCCCACGTCTATTACATTTGTTATTCTTCGATCATATCTCCAATTAGAATGTGTCAAAATTTGCTTACGTGGAAATGAATGGATTCGACATCTGTTGTCCATGTCGCCATTGTAAAAAAATAGGGTCATCAGAATGGCACCTTCTGTGGAAAATCATACTTTCAACAACAAAAATCCCATAGGTAAAAGTCAGTAGAAAGTTAATCTAAAGAAAAAGAGATATTCTCGAAGAAGGAATTGCCAAGAGGAACCATCACTTTAAAAACATTTATATCCCTTGAAAAGGAAAGTATGGGTTTGTGTTGAACAATGCCAAACACTATCATGAGTTTTAGCAATGAAGAATCCGTGCCTCAAAAAGCTAGGGAACACGTTGAAGAACACTCGCAAGT